ATATAATGCATACGTGTGTATATGTGTGTTATATATATATATATATATATATGTCATACGATATAATACATTATTAAAATTTCGAAATGTATGTTCGCATAAATCAAGTAAAATACGTATAGTTGTTGTTGTTGTTAAGATAATTTAAATAAATGACTATTGGAAACGATTTTGACAGATACGAAGACATACGATCAATGGTCGTAGACCTCGTGCAGACTCGGACTGCAGCCAGAAATCTCTTCGAGTGTGCAACAGGCGAAATACACCGAGTAAGGACCCCCAGAGACCGTTTTATAGAGATGATATCTTCTATGGAGGATCTTTAAATAGATTAGCACACTACAAGTCGCAAGTAAGCAAAATATTATTCCTATTCAACGAGCTAACTATTCATTTTATTTCCTTTACGTATCCTTCCCACATTTTCTTTATTATTCATCAATCCCCAAACGTAAAGTCAATATTTTTTTTCTGTTTTATTAAAAAGAAAAGAATTTTCTTTTATTTTTTGTTTGTTTGTTTGCAGCTATAAAATAATAATATAAAATAATAATATCGAAGGAATTTAATATGTGATTTATTTTTCTTTTCTTTTTTTCTCTCTTTTACAATACAAATAATTTTTATCCGAATAATTATTCGTTGTAAAGTCAATTGTTTTTATTTTCTTTTCTTTATGTTAACGATAAATTGATTTGTTTTATTATCTTAGCTTTCTTCGGTCGGTTATCACATGTCCGTGACAAGATTGCCAACGGCAAATGACGTTGAAGAGGAAAAGAGTGGTACATGTTATATCTGTCCGGAAAGCGTGCGTCGAATTTTGACGACTATGCTTGACATTAGTCTTTTAAAGAGCCCTTCTTTTTTGATCCTAGCTATATCAGGTGGGCTTACAATGATGGGCTTTTATACACCTTTCGTATATCTTCCAGGTTTGTTTCTATTTGTTTCTCTATACGTTTATATAAAATAATTAGTTTTAAAATAAACTTTTTATTCAATTTTGTATTTTATTTTTAATTGTATATTATGATCATAGAATCACAATTGCATTAATAATTATAATGTTTAATTATATTTTTATCGTATTGCATTTTTTTCATTGCAATACAATATATACAAATTAATTTGATATATTTATATACATTGAAATTGATTTTATTATAAATTGTTAAGAGATTGATTTTTATCGTTTATATATTATACATTTATTATATATTATTTTATTATTATTATTATTATATTATATATATCTATAGTGTATATAATATATAGACATTTTATTTGTTTCAAGATCGTGCCAAAATGGCTGGAATAGAACCATCTTCTGCAATGTTTCTCGTTTCCGTTATTGGTATAGGAAATACCATAGGTCGTGTAGTTTGCGGCCTTGCGAGTAGTATACCGGGTGTCGATGCTCTCATAGTTAATAATATATTTATCAGTCTTGGTGGATTGTTAACAATGATATCAGGATTATCGTTAACGAAAGGGTATCAATTCTTCTACGCAGCGTGTTTTGGTTTAAGCATATGTAAGTATAATTCAAAACTATATATATATCTAAATTAATTATAATATTATATTAAAACCTAAAGAAATAATAAAACAATAATAATAATAATAATATTAATATTTTATTCATGTATTTGTCCAATTTTGTTTCAAATTTGTTTCAAATTTGTTTCAAATTAATTAACCGCGCTATCGTTTGAATGATTTTTTAATGAATTATATTTGAAATGTGTGATTTTGTAGCCGTTTTCGCATCGTTAAGATCAATCCTCGTAGTAGATCTTTTAGGACTGGAGAAGTTGACAAACGCATTCGGATTACTCCTACTGTTTCAAGGCGTGGCAGCAGCTGTAGGCGCACCTATTGCAGGTGATTAGAAAATATCGATCGTCTCTTAGCTAGCTAAGCATGATTTGATTATTTTTTGCACTGACACGAGAAACGTCTTGTCGTTAAATAGAAACAAAATAATCTTCGAGTTATTACGTCAAGTCTATATAATTTCTTATTTATAAAAATCAATTCAAATTCTATCATTATTATTTTTTTCTTTTTTCTTTTTCCTTAAATATTATACATACCATTTGTCTTGCATTACATATCCAATTGTTATTAGAAAAATAATCTATTTATTTATTTATTTATTTATTATTCTTACGTTATATTTTTCTTTTTCAAATAATATTATTAATTAAATTTAAAAAGCACATAATGATTTGAAATTAACGAAAATAACATGAGATCTTTTATAATTCGATTTTGCTTATAATCTCTATCAATAATTCATTTAATTCTAGAATTGATTATTAGCATTAGTGTATAAAATTTAGTATAAAAAAATCAAACAGAATAATTTCTAATACGAGACTATGATTAAACTTTTAACGATTCAATGAAGTTATACTCTCTATGAGATTAAAGAATTTATTTCTAAAAAATCAAAAAAGAAAAAAATTGGGAAAGCGAAAAAGTAATTTAAAATTTGTCTTCTTTTTTTTTTTATTCTCTTTTTTCTTTTTCTTTTTCACAAATAGGAGCTTTCAAGGACGCTATGGGTAGTTACGATGCTTCATTCTACCTGTCAGGTAGTCTGATATTCCTTTCTGCTGTCATTTGTTATCCCTTGAAGAGGATCAATCAATGGGAAAAACGCAAGAACGAAGAAAAGGACAGTGAAAATTCGTTAAAATCATGATAGATAGTGAAAGTGAACATTTTTGTACGTTGTATGTGTGTATGTATGTATGTATGTATGTATGTATGTATGTTCATTATTGAAACAACGTTAACTACCATGAAACAGAGTGTATTTTCTTCTGTATNAAAAAAAAAAAAAAAAAAAAAAAAAGAAAAAACAGAAGAAGAAAATTTTCGACGATCGGGTGGAACCGATAATTTTTAAATAATTTTTCTTCTTTTATATACATGTATATATATATATATGTATATGTATAATTTTTATTTATAGATGTATCAAGACGTGTTTTAGATTATCAATTTGATTATGATAAATTATTATAGTACGATGAGGAAAAAAGAAAAAAAAATAATCAACCTTTTAACTGAGGATGCGATGAATAATTACTTTGATGAAATTATGAAAATGATACGAGTATATATATATTCAAATTTAAATTCGTCATTGAAAAATTTGATCTTTGAAAATTTCTATTGTACATATTTATTGTTATTATTATTTACCGAGAGAAACAAACAAATTGACGCTTTTTATAAATCAGTTTCCCCTTTTCCCTCCACCGCCCCCCCAGTAAAAAGGTAAAATAACAACCTATATATATATATATATGTGTGTGTGTAATAATTATTTGATATGTTATTATTTAAAATTGATATAGTGTTTTACGATAGTTAAATAAAATTATATTTTAATAATCTTTTTTTTTTGTTTTTAAATATTATGAAGATATAGATTGATTAATTAATTGATTGATTATGTGTGTTTCGAAATACGTACAAAGAAATACATATTATCAAGCATTTATTACGAGCTTTGTTAAAAGTTTAATAATTCATTTATCTGAATATGTTGCATTATTAATGTACATAAAATTTATACACACGTTTAACAACAATATGATTTTTCTATCGTTACGTCTACTTTCTTACAAAGTAAGATATTATTATTAGATACAATTCGCTTATTATTATTTAGGGCATTATGTACTTGCATATTTGTTGTACCAGATCGCCTTTACAATCTATAAGTGCTTCTCAAGTATAATATTGCGATTTTGTTCTATTGATATATATTAATTTTTTTTTTTAAATATACATGTATAAGTTATATTTTGCAATGTTAATTAAATAATTTGTATTTTATAATCGACGAATACGATACCAAATGTTATTATTAAAATTTCAAAATGATCATATATTAAACAAATTTTATTATTTATATTTATGTGCAATTATATTATTAATTTCATTGAAATTAGATTTAATTTGTATATAAATATATAACTATATATCTATATATACATAGTTTTTTTTTCCTGTTTTTTTTTGTTTAGTTTCATAGGAAATAAAAACTATAGTACGAGATTATATATTATTAATGTTCCTAAAACGTGTAAACGCATTTGATGTCGTATTAATGACACATAAGTTGATTAATTCGTGTTTGCATTTTGTTTTTTATGTTTATGAATAAAATTTATACCGTTAAATATATATATTAATTGTTATCAATATTGCGCTTGAGAGGATATGAGAAAGTGGTGAACCAAGAAAAAGATTTATTGACAAAAAAAAAAAAGAAAAAAACGTTTCTTTACAACACAACATCCAATAACAATCAACCAACGACAAAAACATGATGATGATGATGATGATGTGTGTGTGTGTGTGTGTGTGATGATGATGATGATAATAACGAAATGACTATCGTTTAACATCGGATAAATATTAAATGTAAATGATGTGTAGTAAATTTAAAGATATCCATCGATATAGAGACTGGAATGATTTAATTGCATATATAATTATTTGCATGGCCGCACCCAACTAATTTGTAAGATAGAAATAATAGTTGATGGCGAAAAAAAAAAAAAAAACAAAGAAGAAGAAGAAGAAAAAAAAACCAATTGACGAAGAGAACACATTTATACCTAATTCGTTTTTTCGCATCGTTCGAGATTCTTTCGAAGAATTAATTTCCCGATTATATAAATTATTTATTATACCATTCACATGAGAGAAGAATCCAATTGGTTATTTGTCATATCGTTACGATTATGTTTTTATCATTTTCTTTTTTTTTTTTTCTTGGTCTTCTTTTCTTTCCTTTTATTTCGAACAATGTGAAATTAATGGTTTATATTAGAATTAATTTTTTACGAAAGATAAATGTTAAAGTAATAATAAAAAAAGAATTTCTTTATAATATATATATATATGTATGTATATGTATGTGTACGATACAAATATAAAAATATGAATTATTTCAAATTTATAGTGGGAATGGTACGAATACTCATGTGACTCATTGTATATACTTATATACACGTATATTATATACAGGATGTTTTCGAAAATGTTGGCATATAACTTAGTGCATGATAATATAATACTTTACATTTACATACGTGTAAACAATATTTTCTTAAATACCTTGTATATATTATTAGTAAAAAAATAATTAAATATATTATATTATAATATTAACTTATGTATATCTAATATTATATCGACAAATTTTCCTATATATATATAATGCTTTTGGATTAGAGATATTAAAATATATATTTTAACATTTATAATTATAATATACATAGACTATATATATATATATTTATTATATAATTGACACTTGTTATGTTATAATATAATATTGTCGTACTGAATGTTATAATAATAATAATTACAAAATTTTCTATCACCACTCCCCCAAATAAACAAAAATTTAATTTCTAATTATACATTATTATAAAAGATATCACAAATTATGTCAAAATAATGATTTCATTGAAATATGATCCACGACAATATATTGTTTCGAACAAAAAAAAAACGTTAATTACCTGATTTATGAGAAATGATTTACGAGCTTCTAAGTTTGACTTTTTTAGAAACTAAAAGAAAAGTCGTGTTATGGGATAACGGGGTGGGTGGGTGGATGGGGAGTGTTGGGTGAGTTTTAAGAAAGTCTCTCAAGTCTCATCCCCTTTTTTTTCCTTTTTGTTTTTTTTTTCCTTTCTTTTTTGTTCCTCACACGACTATGCAACGGATGGTATAAATAATTTAGATTTTTTAAACACGAGACCCACCGGGAACATTCTTATTCGACTTTTCTTAAGAACGGTCGAAATAAAACGTGGCCTGAAAAAACGTAGTCTAGAATGATTCAAGGTCCGTTTAATTGAACATGCTAATCCCTCTCTTCTGAAAGACCTTTCCCTCTTTTGCTTAAGAATGAAATGTTAAAAACCTCGAAAACGGTTATTATTGTTCCTTTTGAAATGATTTTTTTCTTTTTTATTCGCAGCCCTGTCCGAAATATATTTTTATTGTTATTATTATCATTATTATTATTATTTTCTTTTTACATAATTAATAATACAAAATTGTATATAGACGGATTTAATTTAATAATAAATTAAATATCAATGTCACACAAAGTGTGTGTGTGTTTTAGCATCACGATTATTAATTTTATATGTAAACTTTGTTCTTTTGTTTTTTCCTTTCTCTATTTTTTTTTAATAATATTTAGAAAAAAGAAAAATAGAAATAAAATAAAAAAGAATTTTGTTCTTCTCGTTGCAAACAGAATAAACGAGTTTATTTTTATCTAGTAGGATAGATAAATCAAATTAATCTTTTCAGAATCCGAAGCTATTTATTTTACAAATGTTGAAATAGTATCTTTATTTATCGGTTAACTGGAAACGCAATAGTTTGTTTTAAATATTACGATGGGAACGATTGTACATCCAATACAATTTTACGTCACCTATATTGATTCATTTATTACTTTTTATCCCATTCTTTTTCTATATATACACGAGATTAGAAAAAATATATTCAATGATGAGATAGACATCAAATATATTTAACTCGATTAAAAAAAAACATTCAAACGTTAAATACAAACCTCGAAACATTGAACAATCTTTTTCAAATTATATTCTACAAAAAAGGAAAAAAAGAAAAAAAAAAGAAAATATCTGACGAATCGCAATATATCATCGTCATCGTCTTTCTGTTCCAATGTTTAAAAAAATGAAAAAAAAAAAAAAAAGAAAATAAGGGATGACACAGAAGAAAAGGTATAGAAGAAAAAAGGGTTGGACCTTTGTAAAGGTACCTTACCACATAACCGGGCATTCTGCCACCGACTGCAGATACATTGCGACATAGAACCGAGGCTTATAGTGTAGGGGAGTTGGTACTATGACGCGGAGGGGGTGGCTGGCTAGCTAGCTAGCTCGAAATAGGGGGATGAAATGCGCCGCGACGCGCTGCGGCGTCCCAGGGTGGGGGGTGGGAGGTATGGGAGAACCAGAGAGTGAATTTCTACTCGGCATCCGCAGCATCCCTCCCTCTCTTTCTCTTTTCCCTTTCCCTTTTCCTACCCCTTCTAACCATCCCCCTTCTTACCTCTCTCTTTCTCTTATGTTCGATAGTATGATACAGTATGAGAAAGATAATATATGTGTTATACGAATAAAATGAAACAGAATGAGTTCAAACGAAAGAGAAAGATAATGTTCATTCTGATTCGTTTTACTCTTACCCCCACCCCTCTTCTACAATCTCTCTCTCTCTCTCTTTCTTTCTTTTTACCGTTCTTTATCTTCTTTCTATCTCTTGCACGCGTTTTTCACCTATATAAACCTCCCCTTCCAACCCCCCCCTTTTTCACCCCATTCTCTTCTCTATCAGTTTTTCTTATTCTCTCTCTCTTTGACTCATTTCGTTGTTCTTATGCATTATGTTATCTATCACACTCACACTTAACCATTATATTACGTAGAATCATCTATTTCTCAAATACTCGCGTCTTTACCCCTTATTTTATTCTTCTATCTCTGTCATACCCCTTCCCCTGTCACTCCATCTCTCTCCCTCTTTTGAATTTCTGCTCACAGAGAGAGAGAGTGGTCCAGTACAGCATCGAACCGTGCACCGAACGGTCGTTCTCTCCACGTTAACCCTTTACCGAGTGGATGAGCACGTTGGATGTACGTACTATTCGCGAAATACCTGAAATATTTATCCCCCATTTTTTCTTTTATTTTGTTTCACCATTTTTTTAGATTAAAATTTGACGATCGTAATAGTTAGAACCAAT